TATATTATTAAAACAAATATAAATTACTTCATTATTGAATCTAAATTAAATTATAATAAAAAATTGAATTAAAAAAGTACACAAAAATATGAATTTTAGATAGTTAATTTGATATTAATATCGATATATTTTTGTCAAATTTTTATGATATATTCAAGTTTATATTTTATTCAAAAATAAAAACATAATCGATTTTTCCAAAGCACATAAGACTATACTATAACATCGACTGATATAAAGAATACAATAAAATATTAAAATCAAGATGTATCTCGCTGTATTGCACGAATACTCTTCTAGTAATATTTAAATCAGATAAAAAATATCTGAAATGAAAAATTGATGTACATCATGACAATATGACCTAATAATCTCCTCAAATATGAAGAATGTGTGTAAATTTATTTATTCTATTTATTGTATATAATATTATATATCTTTAAAAAGAAAAATTTAAAGTTTTTTTAATAAAATTGTAGATAAGTTGATGGTTTTAGAAAACCAACAAGGAAAGTGGATGCCAACCCAAACCAACCTCACCAAACTAGGAAAAGGGTAGCAATCCTTCCATTTTTATTTGAACAAATTATATGAAAAAATAATGTACTTTAATTAACTTGATTTTTATTTTGGATAACATTCTTTTAAAACTTCCGTTTTGGTATCCAAGATGTAAAGTTTTAAACATTTAAATACCCGGATACTTAAATATTTAAAACTTTACATCTTAGATACCAAAATGAAAGTCTTAAAAATATGTTACTTTTTAAGGTTTATCACATAACGAGAAAAATGTTGAACACAAAAACGAAAAAAGGGTTGAAATAAACAGTAGAGTGGTTGTCTTAATAAATAATTCACGACTTTTTGTTTCACTTTTAGTCCGGGGCATGTGCCCCCTACCACCATAACTTGCATCTGTCCATGTTATGGTGACCTTCTTTTTCAACTTTCCGTTATGCTTCTTAGTGAATTTTGATTTTTATCTGATCCTAATTCATGTTTGTTAATATACAGTCTTTTAAAATTCAAGTTTATAACTTATTATCGTATACATTTTACTTCTTAAACACTCCACATTTGTACTTTATAAAATAGTCAACTGATAAACACGTTCAGATATATGAAATGCGTTAAATGCTACTGATACGACATAATACGCCCATTAGTTCACAAACAATGAGTTTATATATTCATTGGATATTTCTCATCCAGTAACGAAGCCAAGATATCAGCGAAGGGGAAGAGGAGCGAAATGTATATATAAATTAAATTTTTTTTATATTTTTTTATGATTTTATCATTAAATATTTATCAGCTACAAAATATAGAGAAAGACGATCGCAACTACTAGCCCCTCATGGCTTCTTCACTACTCTTTTAATTTTTTTTCCATTTCGAATGAAAATTGAACAAAAATAATAGAGTGAACCACGCTCGTGGTCCTTGTGGTATGCTCAAATTTAGTTAATCGAAAGATCGTGCTTTGAGCAAACTGTAAGGACTAAAAGTGTAATTCACTTTGAAATTAATGGTGATTCACACATTTTTTAGACAAAATTCTCTATTAAAAATATTTTAAGTATGATTAACAAAAAAAGTATTTTGATTATTATCTATACTATATTATAAAGTATTTGACAAAAGCTTTTAAAAAATACTTTTTATGCATGAAATACTGTTTATTGATGCATATTACTTAAAATTCAAGATTTTACAAGTAAATTGTGCATAAATACAGCTTATTAAAGCTTCAAACTTCAGATAAACATAATCAAATAGAGAATAAACATATTATTTTAAATATAAAAAATTTAAAATATAATCAAGATAATAATTAAATTATAACAAAATACTTAATTATTATCCTTATAAAAAACTATATTATTAAACCAAAAATAAAAAAATGAACTAAAAAAATACAAAAAAAAAAAGAAAAAGAAATTCTAAATAGTTAGTTTATACCAATATCATTTTTTAAAACTTTTTTTATAATATATCTTTATATTTATATTTTATTTAAAAATAAAAACATTATCATTTCTCAAAACCACATAAAACCTTATTATAACATCGACAGAGACAAAAAAACAAAATATTAAAATCGAGATGTTTCTCGATGCATTGTGCAAGTATCCTTCTAGTATCAATTTAATTGTTGCAACTTTTTCACTGTTATTTAATAATATCTCATAATATTTTAACTTTAAAAATGTAATTATATTTTTTTATAAGAAAAAATTATTTATCCTAATAAGCAAATTTTATAACATAATTATCTCATGTTAACCGTATTTTACTTCTA